AAAAAAAAAATAATGTTTTTCAATTCCATTGAATTTTTTTCTTTTACTTGATACCCATATTTGAATTCCACATTGCACAAAATTTTTTTAAATAATTTATTGAATAAATGATATCTCTGAAATTTCTAACAGCCAATTTCACGCAAGCAGTTTAAGTGAAAAATGATTTTAATATTTTGAATTTTATATGAAAACTAGCAGACCCGGCGAACTTCGTCCCGCCCAAAATTAGTTTTTTGTATTGAAACATTTTGGTACAACATTTTCACCAACAGTTCACGTCCATGATTTTCAGTGACGCGTTTATCTTCTAATATTACGGTTTGGTGGTTGTCGGAAGGCATATTTCCATTACCATCTTAAATAACCTAGCAAAATTGTATATGCATACAAAGATATGTAATAGCTTCAGTACCGTTTGAAAGGCGCCACACCCCCTTATAAAATAGCCGAAATTTTTTCTAAGAGTATGGGAGTGATTTCTCATATTTCCATACCATGTTCAAGTACTCTACCATGAACACTTCCAGAGATATGCAGTGTGAAATATTCGGTTTGCATGGGAGGTGCCACGCCCCTTTTTCCAATAAGCCAAATTTTTCTTCATGACTATGCGATTGATTTTATATGTCTTGTACATACCAAGTTCCAGTACTCTACCATGAATACTTGCAGAGATATAAAGTGTGAAAAATTTGGTTTGTATGGGAGGTGCCACGCCCCCTTCACTTAGCGGTATGAAACATACTTTACACCCTATTGTCATACCTAGGAAATATACACAAACAATTTCATTGTAATCGGTTAAGCCGTTTCGGAGGAGTTCGACCACAAACACCGTGACACGATATTTTTATATATTAGATTTTTCATACAAAAATACCAAAAGATCTAATAGAAAAAAATAGAGAAAATTTTTTTAGGATAGGGACACCCTAATCGCCAAATTCGAGTACTCTATCGTGAACACTGCCAGAGGTATGCAGTATGAAAAAATCGGTTTGTATGGGAGGTGCCACGCCTCCTTTTCCAATAATCACAATTTTTCTCCATGAGTATGCGATTGATTTCATATATCTCCATACCATGTTCCGGGATATGCAGTATGGAAAATTCGGTTTGTATGGGAGGTGCCACGCCCCCTTTTCCAATAACCGCAATTTTTCTCCATGAGTATGCGATTGTTTTCGTATATCTCCATACCATTTTCGAGTACTCTACCATGAACACTTCCAGAGATTTGCAGTATGAAAAATTCGGTTTGTATGGGAGGTGTCACGCCCCCTGCACCTTACGGAATGAAATATACTTTACATCCGATTCTCATACCTACCATATATGCACAAAAAATTTCATAATGATCGGTCAAGTCGTTTAGGAGGAGTTCGACCACTAACACCGTGACACGAGATTTTTATATATTAGAAGGAATTTATTAAGTGCACAGAACCGGGCTGTAAGTATATACGTATTTGTTATGAAATATAGCAGTGTTATTCAGTATATTTTTTTCTCACTGAAGAAGTGAAGATTTTGGTAGTGAAGATTTGGTAACTTTTGGTAACTTTTCTTAAGAGATTTTGGTAGAAAAAAATGTTGGCGAGTGGCAACCATGGTTCCCATGGGTATTTTACGTCAATCAGTTTCTCTTCGTTTTTGCTAAAAACGCTAGAGAGACTGATAGACCTATACATACGAAATACGATTCCTCGTAACTGCCTTTCAAGAGGTTATTGCAAGAAAAGGTCGGTGAATATCGCCCTGCACACATTGAGGCAATAGTCAAGTGTATTCATAATCTGGGGGTTGAAACCAACCTAATAAGGCTTATCTACAGCTTACTTCGTGACAGAATTGTTGCGGTGGATTGCGGCAGTGCCTGCACTCAGTTCAGAGTCATTAGGAGCACTCCACAAGGTGGTGTTCTCTCTTCCCTGCTCTGGATGGCGGTTGTAAACGACCTTCTAGAAAAACTGGAAAAAGTGGGCTGTCGGGTGATCGCCTATGTAAATGATGTGTTACTGTTGGTTAAGGGACGATTTCTATAAAACCTTTTTGATATGGCTCAAGGTTACCTGAACGAGGTAACTAGGTGGGCGATCAACGGCGGCTGTCGTGGAAGCCTAACATTGAGGAAAGGGTAAGAAAGTTTTCGGTTGCCTTGTACTGCTGTAGGGGAGCCATCGGTAAAAGGTGAGGTCTCTCGCACAATTGTCTGGTGGAACTCACTAGAGAAGGATACACTTGTAAAATAGGAATAAGCGGAGCATTAGGAACTACACCTAACTGATGCTTAATATACATATATTGAACACGGCGCCTGCGGATATTGCAGACAGAATTGTCGAAGCACGAACTGCTATTGGGCTAGGAGAAACCGAGTCCTTTTGTGACATTAAAAAGGAAAATAAGACGTTTCTCTGCTGCAGGAAATGTTTTTATAGGGCACTTTAAAACACGTTACCTCTCAAGGGCTAGTGATGGGTGTTCTGACAGGCCAACCTTCGCGAGGCTAAGATGGAAGCATTTTGGCTGCAACTCTGAACAAACACTGAGCTTTCAGGGATCGAAATTAGCTGCATTCGAAATTCCGTAATCGGCTCGTGGCGTTAACTTAACCCAACCTAACCTGTACTTCTTTGAGCTATGAAATAGTTGGTCACATTAGTTATATTACATATCGTAACCTGAAATGCAAAAAGACGTAACAAAAATCGTCGCTGAAATCCAAAAAGCCGTAACTAGTAAACAATTAAAACAACTTTTTGATTGATAAATATAATGGATTTCATCGAATTACAACTCCCCACATCGTTTAAAAAAACTATTAGTCACGACCTTTTCCATTTCAGTGATGATGCTTGTTGTATGTATAGGTTTTTTCGAAAAAATATAGATGTTTAAATTTCTATATGTAAACGTGGATCTAGCCTTTCTTGGAAATCGACAAAGTCTGACAACACAGTCACCAATTCAAATAAAATTACTTGTAAGAGCTACATTGTCTAGCATTTTTTATATCTAATCAAGTTGTGCACACTAATTAAAAACAAAAGAAAGGCGTTTGAACTAAACAAGTGTAAAGCACAATGCATGAAGCTGAGACTGGCTGTAGACACTTGATGAGCATCGTATTCTTATGACCACCGATTACTTAACGAAGAACACGAACCTTATGTTGACTCCTTATAAGGGTACAACCCAGCCTCAGAACCATCGCAATGAGTAGACAGGTCTGGGAAGAGAAGGCAAAATCTATTTGAATTTACCGTTAGGCAGGAAAAATCATGACGTTCAAGAAAATTTCTGAAAGCCTCGCCTGATCACATCGATGAGCCTCAGCAGCCTCCAGGATTTTCTTTGAATATTAGACGTAACTAACCCTATGCCTACAGATCAAAATATTTGATAGAATAATCTTTCTTAAGGATATTTCAAGTATTATATTCTACCTTAATTGCTCGCGGTAGCCTTAGGTTAGGAGCTACTTCTTATCAAAATTTTGGCTTTGGGTTTTATTGACGACAAACACGAAAAATATGAAAAAATATATAGAGACACTCTCTTCTAAAAGTAGAGGACCTCGGAAGTAATCACCGGAAAATGATCGAAAAGAATTATTTCTCAGAGTGCTCATACAGTATACATAATTGAAAATTCCGACGCCGCGGTGCACCGGGACAATCGTTTACCAGTTGACGCAGTCACAATTTCAACATAGCCGTTCGTTGAAGAGGTATTTTTCTAGGCAAAGTACCCAAAGGTCTACTTGGGCTTTGAAGTCGGGAGCCATCTGGTACTTACTAACAGTTTCATATTATGGATAGAAGTGTGGATTGTTGACGAATTATCATTAAATATTTTCTTATTCAATCGATTTATTGCCTAACAAATTCGTGAGGAACGAAAATCCATGCGCTAAAACTCACAATATTTTACTTTCGTTTTTTTTCAGGAATGCAGTTCTCTTGTCATTGCTAAATAAAAATTAAATTATTGTTGTTTAATGGATACATGCATTTTGACTTACTCAAAACGCTAAAGATTAATGAAATGAAGTTCACTCACTTGTACCACGAAGGCATCTATTTTTGTACGAAAACAGCGAAACGTTTTTACTCGAAACGATGACTACTACTCACCTGCACGGGTGGCGTTTTATTGCCAGACAATCCCTTCGGCATGGGCGGAGTGCTGCGTGCACCCACAATCGCCATATAGTCCACCAAGCGTGGGCAAAGCGAAAGTTTTTGTTGCTCAGCCATTTGCCAATTCTTTGCTGCAAATTTATTGCCCCTTCAAAATAATGTTATGATTTGTGTGGAGGCGATAAGTATGCGATACTGTTTCTTAATCCGGCAGAAAATCGCAATGCCTTGCAGACTGAATATTCGATTGCTGTGCTTGCTTGCTTAAGTTAAGCTGAAAGTATGAAAAAAAGTTGTATGTAAACATATTTTGATTATAATCAAAATTATTATAAGATAAATTTATCGCCCTTAACATACATATTTATGTATATATACTAGGTAAAATCTTCATTGAATTAATTTAATAAAACACAATGGTCTAGCCGGCCTATAGCACTGTGTACAAAGCTCAAAGTAAATTCGCTCCCAGATGTTATTACAATGCCTCCGGACTTAAATGCAAATGTAATGACCCAGCTTTTGTGTTTTAATCAGGGCCCGTAATCATTATGAGCTTTATCAAAAAAATTAACTTTGAATCATTATTTTGAGATTATAATACTTGCGATCAATCATAATAATCACATTTTGAGTTTTATTGTATTGCTCAGAAAATACAATCATTTATTGAGTTATATTTTTTTGATCAAAAATAAGCGAGCGTTGTAATATACATATAATAAATAATTATTTTGTGAGTTTCTTTCTTTTTGATCAAAAATAATCATTATATTATGAGTTTTATATTTTTGATCCGGAATAATCATTATTTTTTAAGTTTATTTTTTTCATCAAAAATAATAATTATTCTTTGAGTTTTATTATTTTGATCGAAAATAAAACTCATTTCTTGAGCGTTATTTTTTCTCTCAGAAATAAAAATTAACTTTTGAGTTTTATTTTTTTTTTGGCAGATCGAAAAACTCAAAACGCCTCACTTCACCTAAACGTAACTCACCACAACTCAATTCACCCCAACTCAACTCAACTACCTTACCTCAAGTCACCTCAACTCAAGTCATCTCAGTTCAGCGAAGCAAATCACAAATACATTTTATTTCTGAACTGGTCAGCGCGTATTTGTGGGCAGAGCACTGAAGAAAATATACATAATACGCAAACTGATTCGCTGCTAGCGTTGCACACATACATACATATGTGTTTACATTTGTACGAGCATACCCTGCATGGAAACCGTGGACTGGTGAATCAAATTTCTAGTTCCGTACTAGGTCTTTATCGCCAAAAAGGAACTAGTCCGATAGGAACTAGATCCCCACCAGTCCAAAATCGGCGAAAAGTGGTACTTTTAAGAAACTAATTTTTTCAGTTTTTCCCACTACAAATCTATATCTAAAGTGACGAATTTAGAATTGGTTCGGAACTATAGAAAAAGGGATGCAGAACGAACTAGATCCCATTTGTCGAATTTAGAACTATTTCGGAACTATCGAATAAGGGATGCAGCGGGGGGCTTGTTTACTTTACATAGATATGTGTTCGGCGGCTTTTTCGTTCAAATACGCTTCTATTCTGCGCTTCGCAGATGCTATTTCATAGTTTGGTAATACAAAACAAAGCTTTGTGTTAACATATTAACATCTTGGGGCCGTCTGGAATCTAACCAATAACAGCGAGGACCTCTGCAAAGTCAGCTACAGCAAGGTATGTAAACGTACATTTCTTACAATCATTCAAACAAATTTAATTTCAAATTGAAAAAACGTTTCTTTGAAAATAATGTAAAATCGCACACGGAAGAACCGAAAAGATTGAAAAATCATGATACTTTTTTCTTTCGTCTGTCGATTTTAGAACTGGTTCGGAACTATAGAATTTAGGACTAGTTCGGAACTATCGAAAAAGGGATGCAGCGGGGGGCAATTGACACTTCCTAGGACATCGCCATGTTAAATTCGCCAGTTGCTTGCATGCAAAAGAGATTTATCGCGAACCAGTACTGGGTCTAAATGTACTAGAAGCGCCCCAGTTCAGAACTAGAGATTTTCCCCACAGGGTATGTACATACCAGAGATGTTACGAATATTTACATTTTAAACCCCTTGCTTCAACATTCGCATTTTTCGCGAATGTGTACATGATATTGTTGAATTGGCTTGCAAATACGCGCTGATCAGTTCAGAAATAAAATGTATTTGTGATTTGCTTCACTGAACTGAGATGACGTGAGTTGAGGTGACTTGAGGTAAGGTAGTTGAGTTGATGTGGGGTGACTTGAGGTGTGGTGAGTTAGGGTGAGTTGAGATGAGTTAAGGTGTGGCGAATTGAGTTTAGGTGAAGTGAGGCGTTTTGAGTTTTTCGATCTGCAAAAAAATAAGACTGAAAAGTTAATTTTTATTTCTGAGAGAAAAAATAACGCTCTATACGATTTATTTTCAATCAAAATAATAAAACTCAAAGAATAATCATTATTTTTGATGAAAAAAATTAAATTCAAAACCAGAGACCTTACCGGTTATGCATTTTATAATAAAAAGCAAAAAATTTAAGTTATTTTTGACTTATTATTTTGAGCAAATAATTCCGGGTAATTTTGCTTTTTATTTTTTTGGGCCATTTAAGCTCCAAATCAAGTATTCCAGAGTTGTGTATACTCGAATTTAATAGTTTGAAAGCTCCTATCTGGATTTTAATAACTCCCTAATACACAAATACCAGGGTTAGATTAAATCTAAATATGTATGTACTATGTATAAATACAATACATGAAGGCATCTTTTGTTAACGGCATCAGATCTGCACCGATTATTCGATTTTCAAAACTAAAGGGTTTGGCCTCTAAATGTACAACAAGGTATGAGATTTTTAAAAAGGCTTGCAACTGAGGTTCCAAATTAAAGCGCTTGGCCTCTAAATGTACAGCAAGGTATGACTTTTTTGGAAAGGGTTGCCGCTTTTTTTAAATTATAAAACCTGCACCGCTCGTTGTATTAAAAAAAGTTAGGCGTAAAATGAAAGGCAGGGCCTCTAGAAGTGCAATAAAGTTCAACTTTTTTGAATAGGGTTGCCACGCTTAAAAAATTACAAAACTTACACCGTTCGCGCAATTTTAAAAAATGATATAATATGTCATATAAACGGGCTCGGTCTATAGATCTACAAGGAAGAACGGCTTATTTTTTTAAAGGGTTTCCAGCTGTTAAAAATTTCTTTTTTTTGTGCAGAGCGCCAGATTTACCCCGTTCTCTCAATTTTAAATGAGGTGCCAAGTGAAAGGTATTCACCTAGAGATGTGCCTTGGGTTTAATTTTTTTAAGGTTTGCCACCTAATTATAAATCTATGGGCATAAAGTGAAAGCGTTTTTATACTAAATTAATATGTTCGTGCCTTTAAGAGTTGCCACCTATTAAAAAATATATAGCTATGAAAGGTAAGTAACGTATTAAGGATATTCTATATTGGTATCAAACGACAGCTAGTTAAATGGCCTTTGTATAAATGTATGCGAATTTTGGAGAGTTGTCATCTAGTTAACAACTCTTAACTAGCTTTCGATTGATAGCAATATCGACTGCCCTTAATACATTACTTACCATTCATAGTTATAAATGTGTTTAGTAAGTAACAACTCTATTAAAAACCCATATTGCGATATTTTACTATCATATTTTAAACAATGCATTTTTAATTAGGCGGCGCCCCTTTAAAAAAAACCAAATCACGTCTATAGGTGAATACCTTTGATTTGACACCACATTTTGAAACTCGAGAGAACGGTGTAGATCTGATGCTCTGCACGAAAAGAAAATTGTAACAGGTGGCAACCCTTTTTAAAAAAATTAGAGGTTCTTCCTTGCATATCTATAGACCAAGCCCGTTTATAAGGCATGTTATATCATTTTTTTAAATTGCGCGAATTGCGTCTTATGATTTTTTAAGCAGGTGGCAACCCTATTCAAAATAATGAAAACTTCTTGCACATCTAGAGGTCCAGCCCTCTAATTTGAAACCTAATTTTTTTCTAATACAACGAATGGCGCCGGTTTTATAATTTAAAAAAAGCGGCAACCCTTTCCAAAAAAGTCATACCTTGCTGTACATTTAGAGGCCAAGCGCTTTAATTTGGAACCTCAGTTTTGAAAATCCAATGATCTGAGCAGATCTGATGCCGTTAACAAAAGATGCCTTCATGTATTGTATTTATACATAGTACCAAACCCGTAGCCAGGATTTTTTTCGGGGGGGTTCTGGCAAATTTTTTTTTTTAGTTTCACTTTTATTTCAACATATTTTGATTAAAGGGAAAATACTGATAAAAATAAAATATTTCACACAAACAACAAAAAATATAATCGATAATCGATGAGGCTATTGCCTGAAAATTTTAAAATGCGCTTAGTGGCATTGTGCTATTATAATAGCACTGCCGAGTAATCATAGTAAACTTATGTACAGTAATTTTTTTTTGTATATTAGTCGAACAAATTATAGCCGCACCAAATTTTCACAAGTTTTAAAATGTTATTTTGCTGTTATTTAATTTTGGTTAGTTTTTTTATATTTCTTTCTTTAAAAACATCCGTATAAATACAAGTTTAAAGGCAGTGCAAATCGTATCCCAATTGTGTGAACACCCAAAGTATTTTTCTTTATCCCAATCACGAAAATTAATTTGTTGAAATTTTTCAATAGAAAAAATTGAAATTTTTCGCTTATAATGTACCAATCTTTTGACTACAAAAAAAAATTTCCCTTTTTTTACCAATAGCCCAATATAAAAATGTACAAATCTGTACAAAGGTACCAATCGAGTGACACTGCCTTAAAAATTTATGCAATTTAAAAAAAAAAAATCAACAAATTTTGTTAAAATTTCGAGGTTTTTAATTAATTTCTGAGTGTGCAGTTTTGTATCCCATTGAATTCTAGTAGAATAAAGTACAAGTTTCAAATGGCTAAAAATTTCGATTGGTTTTTTAGAATTTTTAAAAAGTTCGAAATTTGTACGAAAGTTTGTTGATTTTTTTTTTTAATATGGCACAAATTTGGAAACTTGGATTTACACGGGTTTTGTTAAAGAAATAACTATATTTTTATAAAAAAATAACAAAAGTTCAATAACAACAAAAATAATACGTTAGAACTTGGCAAAAAGTGTTTCGGCTACAATTTTTTTACCATCGTATGTATGGCTGCCAAGCTGCCAATCTGAATTGCAGCGGCACCATATATGGCAAAAGAACGATGCTACTGGCGAACGCAGACGATAT